TCTGCTGACATCAATCCCATGTGGCAGAGGAGTTGTGTATAATCACTTTGGTTTAATCAATAGAATAATTGATAAACCAGATAAGATTTAAACTGATTATAGCCCCAACAGAATTCCCCAGAGGCCTTGGACTCTCTTAATTTTGACATGTGTGTTGTGTACCCTGAGGATGAAGTGCAGTTTGAATTATCTGTTTTTATTTGCTTAATGACAGGGAGGGTGTTAAAGTCAAATGTTTAATTAACCCTGCAATGGGCTGCGTTGTCACTTACACACAGCTGATTGAGATATCTCATGGAGAATACTGAATAGGAATGATAATGTGGCACTGGGACGGAAGATTGCTTTTTCAATCCATTTGCTGGGTCACTGCTTTGAATGTCTTATTGGATGAAAGGCATTCAGCCTGGAGAAAAAATTCAGCATTTAAGTACATTTTGTTCTCTCCTCCCCCTCTAGCCCCCTCTCTGCCCAGAAGTTAACTAAAACAGATATGTTCTAGGTTTAATAAGCCATTCTGTACTAGTAAGAGATCAGGGTAGTTTGTAGCCTCAAGCCACATAATTTCCTGTGGAAACGGAAAATTCCTACTAGCCTCCAGGGTATTCTAAGTGCGAGCTCTTTTGTCCCTCACTTCCCTGTCCCTTGCCATTATTCTGAGGTTGTCTTTGGTTCCTTGTTGCTTGCCCCTTTCTGTAGTGTTTGCTAGCTGTGAGCAGACCTCTTGGGCCACATACAGACTTTTCTCTCCTGTACTGAAATTTTTTCTAGTATAGCTTTGATATTTCATGCAGCTAGCTTCTATTTGCTTATGTTTTCTAATCAAGTATTGTGGTGAGACCATTGAACTATTCAGAGATATGGAAAATTTGAACTTATATTTTTGGCTACTTTTATTATGTGAAGAATTGTTGTCATGTATATTTTGTTAAGAGGCAGTTTGCTTTTGTATGGACTAAAAAACTAGGCCGGTAAACGTCTAATAGCCTACACCATCAAAAATGCAGTCTAAGCAATTGGAGTTTATTGACTTGCTATCCTATAAACAAACAAACAAACAAATATCTCTGACCTGACTTAGTAATCAAATACAAAATTCTTCAAAGGCATCCAAGGGAAGGTTTTAAAAATGAAATCATCGTGGCTTTCTTCCTGTATAGTTCTTATGCTTTTTTCCTTCTAAACCCCAAAGATCTAAACCAAGAATTTACTGAATTTTTGCTTTGCTTTTAGTCATTTATATTCCAGAGAGCACAATAGGGAGAAATATACAAGATTGATTTTTTTTTTTTTTTAAGTGTGTCCTCTTGAAAGCATAGTCTGGTGGGGTTTACAAAGCAATAGAAGCATGCAGCTAGTTTTCAGGCTCAGGTTGGACTTTTGCGGGTCAAGGCAGACCAGATGAGTAGCTTATCTTGAGGGACGCAAGTAATAGACCAAATATAGAACAGCTATTTCAGGAATCATGTAGGTCATTTAATTATCCATTATGATTGAGTGGCTAATGCTCTTTTGGCAATTACATGACCTCTGTTATTCTTGAAACCTTTCCAGGCCCTTGTGGGTCGAATGACCCACCAGTCAGTGCTCTCAGACTTCATTCCACTCAGAAGGAAAGGAGATGTTGGGAAGCACTGGCCTTTAGAAATGACTGTGCTTTCTTCACTGACCACTACCCAGAATGTCCTTTGTACAGCAGTCAGCAAAAACAGCAACTGGTTTTAAAATCAACTATTTCTTCATTGTCTGCAGAAGCTAAAGATGTACATTGGTTTCCACAAGAGGGAATATTTTATTTATTTTTATGTCTGAGTATATTGTCTGCATGTATGTAAGTGCGCCCTTGTTGTGCAGTGACCATGGAGGTCAGAAGAGGGCATCAGATCCCCTGGAACTGGAGTTACAGATGGTCATTAGCTGCCATGTGGGTGCTGGGAATTGAACCCAGGTCCTCTGCAAGAGCAGTCAGTGCTCTTAACCACTGAGCCATCTCTCCAGCCTAGTGAAACCATTTTTAATTTCATAAAACAACAAAGTGTTGGTAATAGCTAATACCACCAGATTTTATTAAAGATCATTGATTAAAATTAGCCCAATTTGAATTTCAGTGCTAAAATGACTATTAAATTGAATGGCTAATTGAGCAATTGAAATTCTAATCAGATCCGTAATAATTCAGGAACATTTTTTGGAATATTTGAATTAATGTTTCTTATTTTGTGTTAACCAAAACAAAAAAGGATTTTTAATATTTCCGAAGTAAAATCTGTTTCTGCTAAGTGATATCAAAACTTGCTTTTGATGATTATAGTGACCTATAATAATAATAATTCTGTGAAAATAATGTCAGTTTCTTGTGATTCTACATATAGAGGCAGATACTTTTTAGAAAGTAATGATAGTGTAATCTAATTGTAGAATGCCAGGAATGTAGACAAAATGATGTTAGGAGAATGGAAGGTTAAGAGTATACAGACAGCTGGGCGTGGTGGCACGAACCTTTAATTCCAGCACTCCTAGGCAGAGGCAAGCGGATTTCTATGAGTTCAAGGCCAACCTGGTCTACATAAGGAGTTCCAGGCCAGCTGTGGCTACAGGGAGACCCAGTCTCAAAAATTGACCAAAAAACATATACAGACATTCCCCAACATTACAGTAATTTAAAACCATGGACTTAAGACAGTTCATTTTGTTAGACCAACACATAAACATACTCTTCTAAATTGTTGTTTTATCCTGAATAAATGTGCATTGTTTTATGACTTTAAAACAATCTTTTAAAATAGAAAACATTTAGATTGTTATAAAAATGCCTCTGTGGAAAAAAAATACTTTAAAAAATATTTTGTTATTTTTATTTTATATGTATGAATGTATTGCCTGCATGTAGGTAAGTGCACCCATGTCATGCAATGCCCGTGGAGGACAGAAGAGGCCATCAGATCCCCTGGAACTGGAGTTACAGACAATTGTTAGCTGCCATGTGGGTGCTGGGATTTGAACCTGGGTCTTCTGCAAGAACAACCAGTGTTCTTAACCACTGAGCCATCTCTCCAGCCCCGAAAAAAATACTTTTAAAGTCTGTTATTCATCAGATAGCCTTGTTTGAAACAAACAAAACTAAACATGATTGTTTATCCCTAGAGTGGTAAAGTTAGTCCATCTTCCCAAATAAACTCACTAAACTACTCCTGATATAGTTCCAAGTTAATCTGTTTTGGTTTTATTTATATTTTGTTGTTTGTTGATAGAAATTAGTATGTCTAACTTTTGACCCTTCGGGAAAAGAAACCTGTTTCACTTAAGTTTTCATCCCTTTAGTTCAATACTAGCTAACCTTCAATACTAACCCTAACCCTAACCCTAACCCTAACCCTAACCCTAACCCTAACCTGCTTACAGACCTGAGAATCCAGTTGTTATAAGGTTTTAGATACTTTTCTGTTTAAACCATATTTTGTCCTCATTTTTTTCCTATATTATATATATTTCTATTAGATGTAAGCAGAAAATGAGAAAGCAAGATTTACGGGGAAAGAAAAAAGTTAAAAGATTAAGGTTAAAAAAAAAAAAAGATTAAGGTCAAGTACCCTAAGTGAGGAATATAGTTAGTTTACTTAGCATTTTAAGACAAAAGCAAGGATATGGTATGTGGTGGTGGTGGTTGTTAGTAAGCCTCTATTCTTTAAATATTTTATTTTTATTTTATGTGTATGCATGTATTGCCTGCATGTAGGTAAGTGCACCCGTGTTGTGCAGTGCCCGTGGAGGACAGAAGAGGCTGTCAGATCCCCTGGAACTGGAGTTATAGGTAGTTGTTAGCTGCCATGTGGGTGTTGGGATTTGAACCTGGGTCTTCTGCAAGAATAACTAGTGTTTTTAACCACCGAGCCATCTCTCCAGCCCAAGCCTCTATTCTTTAAATCGTACTTCCAGAGCTATGCTGGGCCAACATTTTTAGGCTTGGAAACCAAACATTTGTAAAAACCAAAAGAGTAGAGCTTGTAATTTTAAAGACTATATAATTAGTAGAAAAGGCCACAGGATAACAAGAAGGTAATAGAATAATTTCTTAATAATAAAGGAAATGAAAGAATGATCAAATATGTGTGGGTTCATATATCAAAACACAAGTCTAGCTTAGTTGTTTTTTAGCAACTGCTTATTTAGCTGATGTGGTTTTTATTTTCATTCTAAAATGGTAAACACTGGGGATATTACAGTTTATTACGTTAAATCTTAAATTTCTTTCAAGATATTGTTGAGCTTTAATAAAATAGCAACACCGAAGAAGATAACCAAGGTGAGGAGTATTTAGCAAGAAACAAATAAACTGGGGGGATTAACAACAACAACTCAGAAACAGGAATGTCAGAAATCACAGTTTATTAGGATTTTGGTGAACATCCCAAGCGGTGTTCCCAACCCTTATTTTCTATTTCTTTTGTTTTTTGTTGGTCTTTTTGAGACAGGATATCCCTGTAACCCCAGCTGCCCTGGAACGCCCACCCAAAATACTCTTTGAGGTTCTTTTAAATTTAGCTGGGCATGGTGGCACACACCTTTAATCCCCATGCTCAGGAGACAAACAGAGTAATTAATACCTGTGAAGTCAAGGCTAGCCTGGCACATAGGCCATCTGGGGCTACAGGCAAACCCTGTCTTAAAAAAAAAAAAAAAGAAAAAAAATTCATGTAGAAGTAAATTAAAGTAGTTAAATTTTTGGTCACATGTAGGTGTGTTTAGCTTTTTGTTTCAGTCTTAATCCCAATTTCCCTAGGTAAATTTTATTCATTTTACTGTGTTTATAAATTAATGAATTGTTTTTGTGTTTTAAATAACAAAACATATGTATGAGACTTTTCTTTTAAAGAATGGAGTCTTAATCTTTCAAGAAAAACAACCAGCCTATGGGAGTAGTATGTAAATGCCTACTTAGCACTTAAATTCCTATTTAGGATTTTAAAATATTAAGCCACAGTGTTATAAATAGTTGTAGTGTGCTTACCTGGCAGGGGAGACACCCTAATCAAGAAGGTGGTTTTCCCAGGGTGAGGTTCATCCATTGCACTCCAGATATACTGACTCCTGTGATTTCCCCAAATTTGGAAATTTAACTCATAATTTGTGGAGTGGGGGACTGCATTTATACTCTTTCCTTTAAGAAAATAAATAAATAGCTAAAGTTTGGTAACTAACTGTATTGTCATGTTAAGCAGAATACAATTTTTTTTTTTAAACCCTACAGATTTGGAAAGTTAAAGTACAAAGTTTGGTTTGCTTTAAGTCTTTAACACCAAAAAGCCTAGTGTAGAGTTTAAATGGACTATTCTGGTATGGAGCATACAAGCATAATTACAAACTCTTTTATATACTCAGCCACTGCTAAGTCCAAAACCTCTGACTAAGCTGTATAATAGCTCTCTTCTTCAGAAAAGAGAGACAACTGTTTTAGCTATTTGGGGGGCTTCCCCATATTTATTGCTGAAAATTTGTCTTTCTCTTTTATCTAAACTTTTAATGGTAAAATATTTAAAATATAATATTGTATTGATTGTAATAACTATTGACTGACTTGAAAGTTAACAAAAGCAACATTTGTGCCCTTCCTGTGTCACTCCCTGGTACAGTCATCACTCTGTCCTTATCAGAGCATCTCAGTGCTTAGTTGAGCTTGTTTATCTTAAAAGAGCATGATGCAGACTTTTAGGGAGTAAGCTACATGTTCCAGAATAACAGGCACCAGTGCTGTTTGACTTGAGAAACATTTGATCTCTTACATTAACAGCTCATGTCACTGTTATAGAGACTAGTCAGGCTGTGCAGTTTTCTATTATTTTAGCTTTGAAATAACTGTTAATGCTGCTCCAAAATCTCCGTTTTATAATATTGTACATTGGCTGTCCCCTCAGGACACGTAAGTAAACAAGGTAATATGTGTGGCCAGAGGGAGGATATTTTGTTGGCTTTTTTAAAAATAATAACCATCCCTATCTAAAGCTATTCTGTCTGATTCCTGATGGTGTGCTGAATGACTTGTGTACAGGTGCAGACCTAGCAATATCTTAAGCAGATTTTTGTTTGTACCGGCATATGTACTCTGTGACTATTATTTTGAAACCTTATATTTACTTCTGTTAATAATGAATTTAGGTTTTCTCAAGTGTAACCTCAAAGTAAACAATTTACACTCTGGTTGTTGAATGTGGGCAGGCAAGAACTTACAGGCTATGTTTGTTATACTCTGAATATTATTTTGCTTTATTTAAAAATGTTATGTTGGTAATTCCTATGTTGAAAGCAGTTTGGCAGTTAAGAAGCAGGTCATGGTATTCAAAGAATAGGAAACAAAATTTGTGAAATCAGGTTGATGGGTTTCTTTCTCTTTGAGAGTATTTCTTTTAATAATCATGGCACTGATTTTAACCCTTCCTTTCTTCTATTTTCAAAAATTTGTTTCCCCTTTTTTGTTTTCCTGATCAGGCCATCCAGTACTTTCTTCTAATTTAACACACATACACACACACACACACACACACACACACACACACACACATAAACAAAGACTCCCTTCAGCCTGCAAACATAATTGGTTGAAAGGTGGCCATATATCGAGGGACTTCTTCTAAATACTGAATGTGTCAAGTGTTTTGACATGACATATTTGTATTATCTCTGAATACAGAAAGCACTTTCTGTGTTAGCTGTAGATGTTAAAGCAGTAGTGTGTTTTAAGAATGTATGCTGTACAAATTCTGGCTCGTGAGGTAATGACAAGAGTTTGCCTGCATAGACAATATATTTCCCCCTGAGGTCCCCACACACCTAGTTTCCCTCAAGCTCATCATCTCTGTCAGGTTAATCAATAGGCACCGTATGGCAGAGGGTCAGTAATCAGTGTCATCATGCCTTTAAATCGTGTTGAAAATTTGCTTAAAGCCTGGGCCAATTAACATCGAGATGATGAATGGATGGGAAGATGGGAAGAGCCTGCCGCTCAGGGGCTTTGTGAGGAGGAGATGCTCAGCTGTTGAGCAGCAGACACCAGCGAATAAAATCAGCCATTCATGTGAGCTCAGTCCACCCACTCTTAATGATAATGTCAATCTAGCAAAATATATACACATTGGAGTTGTCATGAGTTCATAAATCAAAGGAGTTTGTCAAAGGCATTCAGATTAACGAGGCAGCAGCAATAACAAGTCAAATTTGCATAGAGAATTGCTTGAATCTCAGTAAATTATGATCCTGTTTTTCATTTGATTATTTGCTAATGTCTCAAGAGGGAGAATGATTATATTAGCATGCAAAACCTACTCCAGAAGTAGAAATCTGAGGTATAGAAGACCAGCACACTATGACAATTAATCAGTTTCTGCATACTAGCATAAATGCACAAGGCCCAGAAATGAACTTCTTTTTTATTATTATTTCTCCTTGCTACTGATCCAAATGGTTCAGCTTGACAGAGACTTTATATTGCTTTAACAGTGTTCTGAATTGTGCCTGCAGGCAAGACATAGTTATGCAGCTATAACCAACCTATCCATCTGCCAACCAGATTGGAATTCTCCTATCCAAGGCTTCCATTAACCCCCACTGACAACTCCAAACAGGATTAAGAATTTGGAAGCATAAAAAATAGTTGTTCTTTGCAAATACACACAATCCCTTTGCATTTTGAGAAGGGCTGCATCTGTAGTATTTTATAATTTGTGTTGGACTTTGTAGTAGGGGTAAAACCTACTTGGCAGGTTTTTTTGGTTTGTTTTTGTTTTAAGGGGGGGGAGGGTTGATTTTTGTAAATAGGGAGGAAGGCAGTATTAATGTCAGTCCTGTTTGGTGTCCCATTGAGTCCTTTACATTCTGTCTGTTTCTTAGCACTGTGCATGGATCCATATACTGCTAAAAAAAAAAAAATGCCACTCCTTGAAAGCTTAAACTGGGGGAGCTTGTTGAAGTTTAGCAGTATGTGGACATTTTGATGTGGTTGTGGTTTTTAACAGAGTATGCCAAATGAAAAACAAGGTAGAAGCATTGTGTGGAAACATGCCAGAGAATATTCTTTTATGAGACTACTTCAGGTCTTTCCTAAAAACTAGTTCTTGAATAGGATTCCTTATTAAGCTTCTAAACTTAATAACTCAAAATTTCCCAATTTTCTTCCAGAAAAATTAATTAAAATTTATTTAAACACACACAGTATTGTGTTTTGTTTGTTTTGATTTTTGAGATAGGGTCTTAACTGTGTAAACCCTGCATGGTCTAGAAACTCACTGTGTAGACCAGGCTGGCCATGAACTTTCAGTGATCCCCCTGCTTCTGCCTCCTAAGTGCTGGAATTATAGGCATGGGTTCTCTGGCCAGATCTAACACATTTTATATATATACACTCTGTGTGTATATATGTGTGTGTGTGTTTTATGTCACCTTTTACTGAAGAGTTTTTAGTTTGTTCACGTAGCTAAATTTCCCTTAGAGTTTGGAAAAGAATAACTTCCCTAATTTTATGAATTGTAAGTTAGCACCAAGTCACAGAACAAGGTAATGGGGAAAAGTATCCAGTTTCTAACTTGTCAGCAAAGCTCATTATCAAATGTTTGCAGCTGGTTATTAGATTAAGATGCTGTACTTCATGTACATTGCCATTCTACATGACAGAACAATTGGGTTCCACACTTATTTTATTTTAAAAATTATTTATTTTAAAATATTTTATTATTTAATTATGTATATGTGTGGATAGGCTTGTACATATGAGTAAAGTGCTGTAGTTACAGGCTGCTGTTAGCTGCCCTATGTGGGTGCTGAGAATCAAACTCAGATCCTCTGAAAGATCAGCACGTGCTCTTAAGCACTGAGCCATCTCTTCAACTCCTTAAAATTATTTGTGTGTGTGCACATGCGCACATAGGAGCACACGTACACAGGATACTGCTTATGTGCAGAGGTCAGAGGACAGCGCCTCAAGAAAAATGCAGGGCATGGTGGTACACGCCTTTAATCCCAGCACTCTCTGTAGACCAGCCTGTTCTACATAGTGAGTTCAGGCCAGCTGGGGCTACAGAGAGACCCTGTCCCCCCCCCCAAAAAAAAGAAAATAAAATAATAAACATTTATATCTAGATAATAAACTCTTAGAGCTTTGTTGACCAGGATATATATAGTCTCCCTGTATCCCCAGTTTGCCTGGAACTTGCTATGTAGACCAGGCTGGCCTCAGAGAGATCCGCCTGTCCCTCTCTCCTGAGCGCTGGAAATAAAGGTGTGCACTACAGGCCTAGTTGGTTTTTGTTGTTGTTGTTTGACACAGGGTGTCACTTGTGTACCTCAGGCCAATCTCAAGCTCACATCAATCCTGTGTTAGCCTCCTGAGTGTTGGGATTATAGGTGTGCACCATCTCACCTGGCTAAAATAACTTTGTTAAAATATGTCAAAGGATAGAACTTGGGGATGCCTGCCCAAAATGATCATGCTGGTGCTCTAAGTCATGGGATGGTACTAGGACTAGAGTCGGGAAATCACTGAAGTTTCTTTGCTATGAAGACCAATTTTAAGCAGTGTGGGTATAGGGTGTGAAGTTTTTGAGCATCTATTATTCCTATTATATGTAATGTGTTGAGATGTGGAAATAGCTACAAGACTTTCCAACCAGGTGCCTGTTCTTACTGGTTTTGAGTAACAATGCAAAAATGGATCTGAGTACCAAATTATGTGAATCAAGATGGAAATATTAAGGAATTTACAGTTGAGTAAGATAGAATAATTTTGTTTTTTCTTAGAGAAGATGACAGTTGAACCTCATCTGAAGGGCATCTGGAACTTAAATCAATTAATTTTCTTGTGTTTATAATTGTCAAGTGAACTAGACTAGAAATAAGGATTCTTTGATTCTGAAAGTTTCAAGATTCTATGATATGTATATGCGGCTTATCAAGAGACTTGTTTAACTAGATCAGAAAATACGTGTTGAGAGAAATAACTGGGTATATTATATTCTGGAAGGTCCTGAAAACCAAACCTAAACTTCATGTTTGATTTCATAGAAACAGGCACTAACATGTTTTTTGTTAAATTTAGGTATGTATGTGTTTGGTACATATGTGGAGGTCAGAGGACAGCTTGAGAGGCAGTTCTCCGCCCCCCCCCCTTTTTTTAAC